TCGACTTGGACTTGCCTGTATTTGACTTGGGACTTGACTCGGACTTGAGGTCAAAAACTCGAGACTTGCTTGAGACTTGCAAAACGACGACTTGGCCCCACCTCTGCCGCCAAGTAACTGTCTTCACGGATCTATTTTACGTTAAAGCTGCATTGTGTAACTTTTCCTGGTGGAGGCCCGTGACTTCTTTGTCTCACCTCAATGTTATAGATTTGCTCAGAATATTCCACAGTACGGCATTAAAGTCATTTATCTTTTGCACTGATTCAATTACAGGTGTTTTTATTGCTTAGAAATACCTCGAAAAGCATGCATTTGTACTGTGAGTGAACTAGCTTCTCCACAGATCTGACCTGTAACTTGGCCTGCTGGTTCCCATATTTGTCTTTATGGAGGTAGGTAAGTTTAATGCCGTACTGCGGAACATCTTGATGAAGACAATCAGACATTTTTATAGCTCAAAAATACCTTAAAAGCAAACATTGTTATTGTCAGCGCAGTCACCTCTCCACAGATCGGACCCGTAACTGTGGGAAATTCCAGGCAAAACAAAAACATCTCCATGGAAACAAGCAATTACCAGAAAAGTTACACAGTGCGCCTTTAGGGAGTAGATGTGGAGGCCCAGAGATGTGGAGGAGGATGTGAAGTTCGGGGAGGAAACTATATAAACTATTTTACCGTATATTTGTTCATCATTAATCATAACTCCACTCTTACGCCACCTTTTTGCCTAAATGTGGGTCAGTGTGGAAAAAATCTTCAGACACTTTTACATTTTTGATTTACTTGGATTTCAAAGTCTGTTTTCTTTCCCAAATTGTATTAATTCTTTTTTTTTTATCCTGTTTCTACATCACAAACAGACCTGGAGTTGTGTTTTGTTTCATTCACACATGTTTAACACACAAACCCTGCAGATTTAGACCGAGTTCTTCTCTCAAACTGAAACCACTCTGTTCCACCTTGTGATGTCATGGGGTGATACAGGAAGCACTCCAGCTCCACTGTGTTTTTAAACTCCGTACGCCTTCACTAGAATCAGTTGGATAATTTCAGCTCTGGTTTTGCCAATGTCTAGTAAATTAAAGGTAAAAGGCAGATATTAACTTGAAAACTGCCACTTATCATGACATCACAAGGTGGAACAGAGCATTTTGAGCTAGACAAATTAATAATGCAGGATTACTCAAACTTGTGAATGAAACAAAACACAACTCCAGGTCTGTTTTTGAGAAGGAGACAACATTATAACATAACTTAAAGCTCACTAAAGTATAGTTTACATAATATAGGACCTTTGAAGGGACAGTCCAGAATTTGGGACATAGGGCCTCATTTCCTAGTGAGCCAGAGTGTTGGAGACGTGTGGAGACACTTTTTTAAAATATACCATCCAGTCCTTGTATTTGCAGAGGTCGCTGGTGCTAGACTAGTGCATGTCAATGGTCATAGTTATCCTGCCACTAAAAACAGTCTTATCCACTCCACCGTGCTTCCGCTCAATGTCATTTCTCTTCAGCAACTAGGTTAGGAATCGGAATACACTAGATGGTTTGCAAGAAACCCGGAAGTTTCAGACCTCACACCGGCCAATCAGTTAAGAGCTGTGAAGCCATGACATCAAACTCAAGCGTCTGTCTGATTCCATTTATGGTACAGCACAACAGTAAACAAAGCGTCGAGATGGACGTAGATGAAGACAGACATTCTGTGTTGGCAGCGATTCCTGCGATCGAGGATTTAAAGCCGTAACAAAGAAAATGTTTGGTGAATTTTATCAAGGGGAAAGACGTTATTGCTCTTCTTCCTATGGGATTTGGCGCATTACAGACCAAACAGCAGCGACTGGTTAAATAAATAAGTACTCACCTACTGTCGACTGAACGAATTCTAATGCTGTGAGGTCAGACGGTTTCCACGAAGTGAAACCGGCTGATGAATCAGGCTACCACAGTGCACCCTAAGCAAAACTATTATTACACCAGACTGTCGAAGTAAATGTCTGTGTTGAAAGAATAATTTTAGAAGTAAAACCAACCTTGCATTTGAATTATTTATGTCTGAGCAGCAGCAGTGAGTCGTACTTCCTGATAGAAATTTCAGCAGCGGCGGACTGATATATGAGAAAATAGTCCCTCAACATGCGACGATTCATGTGATGCAAGGTTAGTTTTATTTCAGATATTATTCTATCAGCACAGACATTCACATGGACAGTCTGGTGTAATAATAGATTTGTTTCGGGAGTTTTGTGGAGTGGGTAAGACTGTTTTAACTATGGCCATTGACATGCACTAGTCTAGCACCAGTGACCTCTGCAAATACAAGGACTGGATGGAATATTTAAAAAAGTGTCTCCACACGTCTCCAACACTCTGGCTCACAAGGAAATGAGGTCCTATATCCAAAATTCCAAACTGTCCCTTTAATACACTATCGAAACCCACAAGTCAATGGGGAAAATCGCATTATGAAGCATTAGACAACAACGCCTAACCTGCTTTTAAACAATTATTTTAGCAGATTTACAGGCAAAATACATAACACAGTTTCCTTTACGGGGGCCATCTTAACACTTGTAAATCTTTTCTCAGGTCCTGTTTCCTCATAAAGACATTTACTACTCTCACTCTCACTTCCACCTCCACCTCCTGCCTCCCCTCCCGCTCCCCGACCAGCATGGTTAAGATAACTCCAGACGAACGAGTGGGTGGTAGAGCCGCAGCGCTGTTTGATCTTCATGTTTTGTTTAGATGTTTCAAGGGGATATCCTATCACCTCCAAACCCCCGTGCGGTCGGCCATTGCGGTCGGGATGGGGCAAAAGAGGGAGATGAAAGAATTGTGTTTGTGTTTTTACCCCTGGTGTGTTTGCGCTGGGCTTGTCCTCACAGGGATTCGGTAAAGGAAATAGAATCAGCAGGATTGTTTTTAGGTCACCAAGGGCCATTGAGAACCAACGCTTTGTGGAGAAGGATGCCATACGTGTGGTCCTTCCCTTTTTTTTAAGTCAAACTTTGCTTATAACTCTGGATTAGGGGTGGGAAGAGATACAGTTTCCACAAAATGAGACGACACACGAGATTGGATCAACGAAAACGAGGCAAGACGAGATTTTGACATTGTTTATAATCCAGTTTAGCAATCCAGTTCACAATTTTCGGCTCACAATTTTTTATTTACTTGATTTAATATTTCTGCTGCCATTATAAGCCTGCTTTCTGGGACTATAGCTTCTCAAAAAATGGAAATCACCAGTACTTAACTAAATTTTTTTATCCAATCCAAATGAAAAAACACAGGGGAAAAATTTCACAAGAAAATTTTTCAGTATCTGTGCACAGTCTTGTCACAATTTTGTCTCGCGAGATCTTGTAGCAGGAGATCTTGTCCCATCCCTAGTAGAGATGTAACAATAATCGAATTATCGTGATATAGTATCGTCAAAAGTCTCACAATAATATCGTGGGCCATCACAAAATATCGAATTACACGTTTCTTTGCTTAAATTAATAAAAAAACAGAGGGTACTACATAGACCATGATCCTTTGCTCCATTTAACATAACCATAGGACTTCAGGACTTTTAAATCTTAGTTCTATGGATTATGGCAGAACCAAAGTCAAGGAATTTCAAAAGGTTAAAGTGTCACAAGTATAACAAATATCGTACCGTGAGATGCATATCGCAGAAATACCTTGTAGAGAGTTTTGTATATGGTTACATCCCTACTTATAATATGTTTTTGTTGAATGTTTGAAATGAGCATCGGTGTTTTTGGTTTCATATTCTTTATCCTGTTTTGTGAACATGTTTTGTAAGACTTGAACTGAGAAGCCAACTCATTACTGTGTCAGAATTTTTACAAGATGACGAGATGAGACATGAGATTGCGAGACAAGATGACATTTTAACACATTTGTAATGACTAAATTGTGCAGTTCAGTTCACAATCTTGGGCTTTTTTGTTTTATTTTTGCTGTCTTTTTATCACTGCTTTTTGGAACTATGTCTTCTCACCCTTTTTCTAAGATATAAGGGGATAAAAATCTTGCTCCATCCCTAACCTCTACCAATGACACTACCGTTTCTTCCGTTGGCAATTACATAAAAAAGTTTCTTGTAATAACGGCTAAGCATATTTATTGGTTGATTAAAATTAGCGCTTCCTTCTGTTTCCTCTTCACTTCACTAGAAACCAGTCAGTCAGGATTTATTTGGCACTTCAAACTGAACATTTGGCCCGAGCAGATCCTCCTAACTTCTGTCTTTTCTTAGACTAAGCACGTCTCATGAACACAATATGTACTTTTTGGTAGCGGTGTAACAATATCCAAATCTCCTGGTACGATATTTTTACGATCTCACAGTGCGATATTTATTGCGATATTTTGTGGACAAAACCTCCTCTTAAAATGCCTAAGAACTAAGACTTAAAAGTGCTTAGAACTGTTATTTCTTCTTGTAGTCTGCACTGAAATGGAGCAAAGGATCATGGTCTATGTAGTTCCCTGTCTTTTTTTATCTATTGCTGCAACATAACTCTTAATTTAAGCAAAGTAACTTGTATTTTGATATATTGTGATGGATTATTGTGAGAACTTTGACGATACAATATCACGATATTTTGGTTATTGTTACTGGGCTATGACACAGTGTTTAAAGGTGCACCGTGTAACTTTTCTGGTGGAGTGTTGTTTTAACTGGGATGTCCCACAGTATTAAACAAATATATCTTGTGTTTATTCAGTTACAGGTGTTTTAATTTCTCAAAACTACTGCAAAAACGTGCTTTATAATTGTGAGCAGGTCCATGGAGATAGTTTAATAAAATGTACGGTTTAATAAAATATACTGTAGATCATTTCTGGAAAAAAATAACATGGAATTGAAGTTTTGGACCTGCTACCAGAGACGTTACACAGTGCACTTTTACCTTTCATTTCAGTGAATTATAAATAATTAAAGTCATTGTACCTGTTTGCTTTTACTTCCAGAGCTGTTCCAGGCTGATGTAGATGAGTTCTGCCAGTACTACGGGAGGAGGGATGGCAGTCTTTGCTTTCCTGATTTTCAGCGAAAACCACTTCATGGCCTGGATTCAAACTACTTGGGGGATGAAAAAATAGAAGATATCAGGTTTGTCATCTGGCTTTTACAATGCTATGTATGCACATTTCACACATGTGTTTAATGTAAGTGTAGTGACTGTTCAGCCAAATGTGACTTCAGGACACAGCTTCATTTCAAAATACAAATGATCTGAATAGTCCGAAGTCTTTTTATGGGATTTCGCTGTAGCATTGTGAGTCTTTAACCTTTTGTGTCTCGCCGGTTGCCCAGGAAACACAAACACAACTGCTACTGTGCCCAGGAGGTGTTGAGTGGTCTGAGACAGCCGGTGTCTGCAGTGCACTGTGGAGATGGGTCCCAGCGCCTCTTTGTCCTCGAGAGGGAGGGCATCGTGCGCATCCTCACCCACGACCTCGTCATGCTCAAGGAGCCCTTTCTCGACATCCACAAACTTGTACAAAATGGAATAAAGGTATGGATCCCGTTACAGTAACCCCTATACGCTCTGTGAAAGATCCCTTTGTGCACTTTACTTCTAAGGAGGCTCTTTGGACTTGACAGACAGTGTTTCCAAAACTTTTTCTGGGTACCCTTATTTTAAAAGCCACTTCACAACCCAAGTCAATAGACATTATTCGTAAATCACAAAATAAAGGCAGTTATTGAACACTAATGAGGATATTTTACTGTTGACTGAGAGATCGTGTCTCTCTGAACAATTATTATTACTCAAGGTTTAAACTATGTAAAACAGTCATTGAACCAGCAATAAAAGGATCCATAAGTCCAGTGGTGGAGTTAGGAATTTTGGGGGTCCTAGGCGAACTTACACTATAATGCACCATTTTTTGTTTTGTTTTGTTTTGTTTTTTATATCTATATGTATTTATTTTTCCCCATGCACATTAGGTTAACATCAGTTCGGTCGCCTACTAGAAAACCAGAACTGAAAGTAGTTTTATTTTTTTGCTAGTACAATTATATTTTTGTTTACATCCATTACATATGATTATTATTATTTTTCTTATGATTATTGATTAAAAGTACTACTACTACTACTCTCATTTAATGTCATATTGAAAGCCATTAGTAGCAGTGAGGGCAGTTGGTTGGGGGCCCCTCCAGGTTTGGGGGCCCTAGGCAGCTGTCTATTTTTGCTTAATGGGAACACTGCCTCTGCATAAGTCACCTATTTGGACATTAAATTTAGCCCATTTCTTTTTCTTTTCAACATTTAAGTGAACCAGAAATACGGGAACAAAATAGTCAATAAAATAATTACAAAAAGATTAGAAATTATACAAAACACTTAACAACTTAACATTTCAACATGTATCAGAACTGTATATTGCAGACATACATGCAGATCGTGACAAGGCGACCCAAAAAAAAATCTTTTACGACCCACCTGAGAATCCCGACCCAGTCTTTGGGAAACACTGCTCATAGACACTGTAATGAAGTAGACTAACGTGTGTGACTTCACCCATAGCATCCTACTCTAGTCAAATGAAGCTCACTGAGGCTCGTGGTTATAGAAGTGAATTTTATTTTAGGAATAGAAATTTATTCATGAACAAAATAGAGAAATAAAAACACCAAGATCATGTGGAATAGATGAATACAAACATTTTAAGACCAAAATGGCAAAGCTCACTGCAGCAGTCACATTGAGAAAAGTCAACTGGAAACGTACACTGGAAAAAAAACAATATCTAGGTCAATTAAAATGACTTAAATTAAAAAGATCATTTTACGTTATTTGAGCAGATTCAACTTGACAAGTAAAATTATCTACCAATGGAATAAGTGTGTTTTTCTTAATTCAAGCAAGATTCAATTTCGTTTCTTATTTTAAGAGCAGAAAGTTGTTGTTTTTCTTATTTTAAGTGCAGCAAGATGTATTTTCATATTTTAAGTACAAAAAATCTTATTCCACTGGCAGATAATTTTACTTGTCAAGTGAAATTTACTCAAATCATAATGAAACCTTCTTCATTCAAGTCATCTTAACTTGACTAGATTTTGTTTTTGCAGTGTAAAGTCAGCTGGAGTCAGTGGAGCCAGAAGCGGGTTACTGTTTCCTAGGCCTGTCACGATAATTACTATATCAACTTATCCTTCAGTATATGAAAGATGGAATAATATTTTTTGGAGTTAGTGTTTATCTGGTGTACAATTTCTTTGCACCACTTGGCAATTAGTAGCCAGGCCAGTGCCTCCGCTCAATTTAATTTCTCTCCAGCGACTAGGTCAGGAATCGGAATACACTAGATGGTTTGCAGGAACCACGGAAGTTGTAGACCGCGCACCGGCCAATCAGAGAAGAGCTGTGAAGCCATGACGTCAAACTCAAGCGCCTGTCTGGGTCCCTTTTGTGGAACAGCACAACAGTAAACAAAACGGTCAAGATGGATGTAGACGAAGACAGACATTCTGTGTTGGCAACGATTCCCGAGATCGAGGATTTAAAGCCGGAACAAAGAGAATGTTTGGTGAATTTTATCAAGGGGAAAGACGTTATTGCTCTTCTACCTACGGGTTTTGGTGCATTACATACGTCACGACCAAACAGCAGCGATTGGTTAAATTAAAAAAGTACCCGCCTACCTGTCGAGCGAACGAATCCTAATGCTGCGAGGTCAGACAGTTTCCACGAAGTGAAACCGGCGGATAATTCAGGCTAGGGTGATGTAGGCTTGTGGGCGGAGCCTTGTACAGAATCTCACAGCTAACCGGAAAAAGGATTCTAAAAGGGCCTGGGAGAGATTGCTAAATTATTGAAACATGCATGGATGACATCTTAAGACATGTTTTAATGAGGGAACAACATTATAACATGGCACAACAAAGAGAACAAAGAGAATGTTTGGTGAATTTTATCAAGGGGAAAGACCTTATTGCCCTTCTTCCTACAGGTTTTGGCACCTTACATACGCCACGACCAAACAGCAGCCAAATTAGTTAAATTAAAAAAGTACCCGCTTACCGTCGAGCGAATGAACCCTAATGCTGCGAGGTCAGACGGTTTCCACGAAGTGAAACCGGCTGATGAATCAGGCTAGGAAATTAGTGGTTATTTTTTTGGCGCTGTAGTAGGTTAAATGAACTTCTATGAATCATTACAGATGCAAACTAACTACTAAAGTGTCATTCTGCTGTTTATTTATCACAGCTCGTGTTTTTCTAACAAAACTGTACATTTAGAATCATTTTGTGGTTTAAATCTGCTCTTGTTAGTGTGTCAGCGGCATAGATTAGTTTCAGTATTATCGTTTACCATCTATATTTACTATTTCGCATAATTGTGATATCGTGACAGGCCAATCTGCAGCTCTAGTCAACACAAATATATTTAGAACAGTCTGGTAAAGCGAAAATGAGTAGGTAGAATTGATGGTTGAGCTACTGCGAACGTCAGCCCTTACAAATCTGCTAGAGTCTGCAGCGAAGACAGATCTTTTAAATGAGGTGCCTGCAGTCTATTAGCAAGCAATGATATAATAACTAACAAGCAGCCATTCGTCAAGTGTAATTGTGTCCAATCACTGCACATTAGCCTCTAATTAACTGTACGCACAGAACACGTCGTGCTCACTCCTAATTTTCTGCTAATTCACACAAGATGGGTTAATGGCTTTCTTAATCTGTTCCACATTGTGCCTTCAAGGGTGGTAGTACGCACATGACGGCTCGCCCAGCGCTTTCAGTGGGGACTTGTTTCGCAGCTAAAATAATGGCCCAAATAGTGTGTCAGCTTTTAGACATACAGCAGTATTTACACAGAAGCAACTGTGGTCATTATATTTATTATAGAGCATCTCCACATGTGTTCAGCATATGTTTGGCTGCAGAGCGCTGGTAATGTCACTCAGCATTTACACAAAGGTGATGTCCGCTCACTACGCCTGTCACGATAACAAAGTTTGAAGTGCGAAATGACTAAGTGAAGAAAATACGCACGGTGATATTGAAACGAACTTACTCCACTGACACAATAACAAAAAAGCGGGATTATCGCTCCAAAAATGATTCTAAATGTGCAATATTGTTAAAAAAAAACACACGCTGCCATAAATAAACAGCAGAATGAAAGACTTTAGTACTTAGTTTGCATTTGTAATGATTCATAGAAGTGATTTATTCAACCTGTTCCGGATTAAATCTTATAATAAAGCCAAAAAATAACAAAAAAATTTACCAGTAGTGCAAAGAAACTGTACACACGATAAATATTGACCTCAAAAAACATTATTCCAGCTTTCAGATATTGAAGGATAAGTCGATAAATTGATTACAGTGGTTACACGTAGGGCTGGGAATCACAGGGTCCTTCACGATTCGATATGATACTTGCTACATGGCTCACAATACGATATTATTACAATATGGCGATAATCGATATATTACACATGATATTCTGCTATACAACGCTATTTTTAAGAACCAAAAACATTTTAACAACAGTATTTCTTTGCTAAACCACTACTTGTGCAAATTTAATATGAAATAAATAGGAATGTAACAATGACCGAAATATTGTGATATCATATCATCAAAGTTCTTATCACAATATATCGAATTACAAGTCTCTTGTCATTTAATTTGTAATTTAAATTAAGAGTTATGGTGCAGCAGTAGCTAAAAAAAAGACAGAGAGAACTACATAGAGCGCCATTTCAGTGCAGACTACAAGAAGAAATAACAGTTCTAAACACTTTTAAGTCTTTGGATTAAGTCTTGTCAAGGCATTTTAAGAGGAAAAAGTAGCATATTTACAGTTTTGTTTGTTATCCTCCACAAAATATCGCAATAAATATCGTACCGTGAGATGTACAGAGAGATTTGGATATTGTTAAATCCCTAATCGTAAGCCTCCCCACTATATCGTGAGCTTTCCCACAATATCGCAATAAATATCATACCATGAGGTTCATACCGTGACGATATCGTATCGTGAGACTTGGATATCGTTACAACCCTAGAAATAAACCTACTGTAACCATTAAAACAGTGAATATGTCAAATGTGTTGCATAAATAAGTTTCCTTTCTCTGAACAAACATCAAAATTGTAGCACCGAAACAAAATTTTACCAAAAAATTGTTGTGGTGATATATTGATACAGCAGCCCATGATAGCTTTACTGTATCAGCAATAGGGCTGGGTATCATTAAGAAGTTGCCGATACCATACATACCCTGATACACAGGCCACGATACATCTCGATACAGTGCACTTTCTATTTAGTGCTATATGATTTTTACTATCTGTGACACTAAACGTCTTTGTTAAACCACTTCCTGCGAAAAGTTCATATGAAACACAAACATTTTACTCATCAAAACAGTGAAAATGTCAAATGTGTCGCATAAATGAGTTTCCTTCCTCTGAACAAACAACAAAACTGTAGCGCTGTAACAAAATAATTGAGTCAAATATTCCAAAAAATACTCTTGGTGATATATCGAT